GGTGTGAATATATGGCAATAAAAAAAATCTAGAGAAGGGGTGAATAAACTTAAAAACAAAATTCAACCAATTCTTCAAATAGGAGTAATCAGAGGTTTTTGCAGAGTTTGCACGCAGAAGATTACAGAGCGAAAATGTAAAATTATACTCAATAGACAGTTATAAGATAACAACTCAAATCACTTTAAAAACATCGTAATTATTTGATGACAAAACACTAAGTATGCAACCGAATCACTTAAATAATTGACGAGGTATGGTTACTCAATGTTTCAATAAATCGAATTATAAAGTCACGATCTTTCGCAGATTTTAATCACCACTAAAACTCTTAATGGTTTTCCAATTCCAACAAAACCTAAGCTTTCCAAATTAAATTGTTATTACCAAAATATAAACTTAAGCAACAATATTCTATGAAATTAAAATAAAAAGAGTGAGAGAGAGATGACACGATAGTTTAAAGTGCTTCGACTCTTTCATCCTCGCGTAAGTCTACGTGCACCGTTGAAAGTACATGCACAATTCCATTAGATTTTGAAAAATATACAAAGAGTTCATACAACCACTTATCCATAATAATATCGAAGACAATAAAACTTCGACTTCGGATCTTGACTTGTATAGATGTCCAACTGCCACACTCTTCTGCATAATCTTTACTCGATCAACGATTCTAATCTTCCAATAAGACCAATTCTGCTCCAAGCCTTCATCTGTAGCAATCAACCTCTTGATCCTACCGATTCCTTGAGCGGTGAAATTGTATGAAGATGTACAAAGAACTTCAGCTTATCCGTATCCTTCCACACAACCATTACCAAGGCAATTATGTAGAGAAGACCTCATTCTTTTCACCGGAATTTATCAGCACCAGTGACAACAACCCCAATCTTGCAAGAACCTGAAAAACCTTTGAATAAATATCCATGAATGATTAGTTTCAAGATAATGTATCCCCCAATAAATGAATATCCAATTATGATTAAGATGTGAAAAAGAAATGAGGTTGACGATGAGAGATTTCTGGTTCCAAGAGTTTCCAAAAGATGGTTGATTTTCACAGAAAATTCACTCAAACAGTTATGAGAACTTCACAAATGATTATGCATTCCCATGTGAAAAGGTTGACTAAGTGCTTATATATTTTCTTGAGATGAATCATACAAAAACTGGAAAAAAAATTGGTTAGATTCAAATCAAGGTCAAAGCATGTAATGTGTCAAATGAGCAAGTGAGTGGAATAAAAGAAAATCTGAAATTTCGACCCATTTGTAGTTGATTCAAATCAAGTGTATTGTGTGATTCAAATTATAGGCCACACGATTTAAATCATGTGCAATATGTGATTCAAATCAATTTCTCCAGAGACTTTTGGAAAAACCAGAAAAGTGCATGATTCAAATCAAGTACAAATGTGTGTTCGAATAAACAACAACAAAGAATTTTGATAGATGAAAAATTTCACGTGATTCGAATCATGTATAAAGTTTGAATTGAATCAGAAGGTTCTCAAAATCTTCTGGGAGTCTCTGGTTGATTTGATTCGAATTAGAACTCAAGTGTAACTTAAATGATTCAAATCATAGAGTTCAAAAACTAATTTTTCATGCTTTTAACACTTTTCTTTGCACGTGATTTGAAACGAACACGCAATGCTTTTATTACATAAACTCATACACTTGGCTACTAACATTTTGTTAAAGATCAAATGTAACCAAAAGGTTTATGCATGCTAAAAGTTATGAATCATGTGTGAGCAATTACTAAGAAAGACTCAAGAACGATAAATACGAAAGCGGTACGAGAAGCAATAAAAAAATAACTGTATTGAGATTTCTCCCCCTGCATATGATAAGGATGTACAACTACAACTCAACTTCCATAGGGATATGCATCTACAAGATGCATTTCGCGCCCGAGGTGAAATGTGTTTTTTATAGTAGTCCTATGTACTTTTCTTAGCATTTCCAAGAATTTATCATGTATATACCTCTTTTGCATGGTACGCCTTTTTGGTCTCTCTCACGGATGATGTTGAGATGTTGTCTTCCTGTTTTCTCCAATCAAAGACATATCTTGTGGTCTATGTATATGATGAGAATAAGAGTTTGAGTCCTGATTATTTCAATTTTTATTTCTTGAGGAGACTTTGGTATTTTATGAGAGATAATATGAGGATCTTGTTTGCCCAATTTCATAGTCAAACTTCTCTTCCCCGAAGTTTTTTTCTCTTACTTTGAGATTTTGATTTCAAAAAGAGGAGTTTCCTTCTAATTTCAGGGAGTTCCGTCTTATTTCTCTAATGAGGAATCTTTATAACCTGGTTGCCAAAAGGTTGACTTCTAGATTAACGAAAGTTACAGAGAAACTTATTTCTCCAAATCAACTAACCTTTCTCAAAGATAGACTTCTGGTTGATGGAGTTGTAGCAGTGGACGCGTTAGTGGACATTACAGAGGCTTATGACTCAGTGAGTTGGAGTTTTTTTTAAGATTATATGTTGGATATGTTTGAGTTTGATATGAAGTGGCATGCATGTATACATGGTTGTGTTTTTTCTGGTAATCTAAGTGTTTTAGCTAATGTGTATCCAACTTAAGAGATCAGTATTCAGAAAGGATTGAAAAAAGGTGACAAAATTTCCCATTTTATTTTCTTGCTGGTGGTAGATGACATAAGTGGTTTATTTTCTAGGGCGTTGGAATTGCACTCAAGGTTTATGATTGGGACGTCTAACCTGGTAGTTTCTCATCTTCAATATGCAAATGATATCCTCATTCTTCTGAACCATAGATGGATAATATTTGGATTATCAAAGTTATTCTTTGGGATTTTGAGTTAGTGTTTAGGCTCAGTGTCAATTTTTCTAAGATATGTCTTATTGGTATCAATGTCGACTATTCCTTTTTGGATTTAGAAAACGAGTTTCTCTACTGTAAGAACCTTCTTGTTAAATACTTCACGCTCCTTATGGGTACTAATCCCTACATGAAGTCTTCTTGGGATACTCTCACCAGTCTTTCATCCACAAGGTTGATTACTTAGTGACATAAGTATGTTAGATTTGGGGTAATTATTATTCTAAAATTGGTTCTTAATTCAATTATTATTTTCTATATCTCTTCCCTTAAGATGTCAGTCAAGGTTTGTGAGAAAATCATGAAGATTCAAAAGAGGTTTTTGTAGGGGAGGGGTGAAGGGGGATTCAAAGATTTCTTGGGTCAATTGGTATGATGTTTGTAAATTTAAGAGATGTGGTAGGTTAGGTGCCTGAGATCCCTGCTTGGTTAACTTGGCATTGCTTGGTAAGTGTCGTTTGAAGCTATTATCTTAGGAAAGTGGGGCACAATGGAATATTATTTCTATCAGGTATAGATCTCACATGGTTTATTCAACAAAGGAGGTATGTCCTCCAATTATTGCTTTGCCCCACCTTGGTGGAAATGGATCTCTCTTTTAAGATCTAAAGTTGGGGAGTCTACTAACTGGTTTGTTGAGGGACTTAAAAGAAGATTTAGGTTCTATAATCTTACGTCATTTTGGGATGACCCTTGGGTGGGGGTTATTTTCCTTAGATAGAGATTTCAAAGAATCTATCTTATTGATCGTCATTATGGTAGAAAAGTCAATGAGGCAACGAAGGGTGGTTTGGTTAGGTGAAATTTTCAATGGAGGAGACATTTTTTAGTTTGGGAGCACGAGTAAGTGGATTTGTTTTTCAAGGTCCTTTAAGAGGTAATTCTATTGCAAGAGGATGATTGTTGGTGGTGGAAGGCTGCTATAGACGAGGTCTACTCGGTAGCTTTGACATATAACTCTCTTATTAAGGAAAAACTTAGTTTGGTCCTTCCTTTGAATAAGGTGTATTGACTCCTGTCTCACATTTGGATTAGTTGAGCTTCGTCCAAGGTGTTAATATTCTCTTAACAATTTCTTCTTAATAATTTTTCCTCTAGAGAATTTGTTAAAACACTGGGTCTTTTTGGATCTGACTGGGGTTTGTAGTTATTTTTTGGGATGTTTGTAGAGTTGAGTCAGCTTCTCATTTATCTGTTACTTGTGAGATAGTCTTGCATATGTGGTATAAGATCATTAGGAGACTATGTTGGTCTTTAGGCATTTTGGCGGATGTTGTGTCTCTTTTTGAGATTTTTGTTACTTTAAACACGTCTCATAAGATTATATGTAGTTTGATTATGATTTGACACTAGGTGGTATGGTCTATTTGAAAATCACTGAACAATTTGATTTTTTCAGGTACATCCGTAGACACGAAGCACTTGGAGGATATGAACATTACCATGGTTTGAAAATGGTACCTTGGGAAAACTTTTAACTAATCTCGTCCTTTCTCTTGTTGGTTGGATAATTCTATCTTGTGTTTAAGCTAATAACAACTTAGAGTGTTTATGATCTTCTTTGAGTTGAATTTATTACCACCTTCCTTCCTAAAAGATTATGATATAGAAATTTTTGATCACATAGACCTTTTTTAGTTGGGATTTCTTCGTCATCAAGGATTGACCATATTTTTCTCTTCTTGTTTGAGGATAGAGTCATTATCTGTTTAATAAAGTCTTATTTTGTTTTGGTGATATTTATAAATTTTGTAACTTTTTGTCTTATTAAACACTTATAAAAGTGTATTCATTCCAAACTATTCTCTATTGATATTTGTATTTATCTTTTCTCTTATTAAAAAATTACATAACATTATAAAAAAAAAACTTTTATTCATTTAAAAAAATATTCAAGTTTTGTGGGTCATATAGCTGACGCATAACCCTATATATATATATATATATATATATATATATATATATATATATATATATATATATATATATATATATATATATATATATATATATATATATATATATGTTTTTCCTCTCTACTCAATTATTCTCAATCGTATCTCAATTTTGTTATTCGGGGTTATTAGGGTTTTTGTTCTTCCCCGACCAGTCTCTCGCAAACACAGGGTTTTTCTCCCAATGGGAAGATATCGTAGCCGTAGCAGAAGCTACAGCCCTCGCCGCCGTAGCAGAACCCCACCTCGCGGTCGCAAGCGTTATGATGATGAACGCTATCCGGACACCAGGTCTCGCAGAGACCGTCGCTCTCCTCTCCCTTCTGGCTTACTCGTTCGTAATCTCCCACTTGATGCTAGGTTTGTATCTTTTTCTTCTATTCATGTTTCTTGTTTCTAAATTTCATTTTTTTATCCAAAGTTTCCAATCATTAAGCTCAAAACACTATAACCCTAATTTAACGATATTGCTATTTTCAATTCGATAGGGAAAACATGCCAATTCCTCAATGGGGTGGCATTTTCTTCCTCTCTGATGCTATGTTCCTTTCATTGAATCGAATTTTGAACTGAAAAGGGTATTAGGAAACAAAGTTTACCTTTTGATTTATATGATGCAGACCTGAAGATCTTAGGGGGCCCTTTGAACGCTATGGTCCTGTAAAGGATGTTTACCTTCCTAGAAATTATTACACTGGGTATGTATGTTCTATGTTTTGTTTCATATTAACTATTACAATTCCTTCTGCTTTCAATAAGATAGATAGTACGGAATTGTGTGAATTTGATAGGGACTCGTAGACTGGGGTTTTAAAGTCTCACATCGAGTATGCTCGGTGAAGTATTAGGTGGTTTGGGGAATCTTCTATTGAAAGCTACCAATTAAGGGAGAAGAATCAAGCTACTTAAATGCTTCACTGAGCATTCTGGGCTACTCAATGTGAGACTTAGCACTGCCTAATGCCTAAGTTCCTATTGGTGTTGTGACTAGAGCCTTATTTTTAAGTTGTGATTGGATTGATTTCATAGTGATTTTTTTTTGAATTGCTTTTGTAGTGAACCTCGTGGCTTTGGATTCGTGAAATATCGATACGGTGAAGATGCGGCTGAGGCAAAGCAACATCTGAATCATAGTGTCATTGGTGGACGTGAAATAAGAATTGTGTTTGCTGAGGAAAATAGGAAAACCCCTCAAGAAATGCGTGTCACTTCTCATGGAAGGTGTGATTACAGTTATAAGTGCTAGTAAATTTTTAATTTTGCACTTATGGAATTTCTCATTTCTTATCAACTTTTTTTTTTTATAATTTTTTTTTATATTATTAGTAGCCGGAATGGAGGTGGTAGCAGCCGAAGGAGAGCTCGGTCAAGATCCCCACGACGTCGGTATCGATGTCAGTGTACATATTCACCTCAGCTTCAAATACGATAACATTGTATTTATGCTTTCTTTGAGAAGCCAATCCATTTATTCATGTTATTATATATGCATTGTTTGCAGCCTACTCTAGGTCTCCATCACCTGCCAGGGACAATTCAAGGTTTGAGTTTTACACTTCTTTAATGGTTTAATTTTCCTTATGTGTATTAGAATATGTTGTTGAGCATGTTATCAAATTTATTTATTATTTATTATATATCATAACGTTTCAGGCAACTAACTACATTTGATTGCATTTAGTTTCTCAAACATTAATTGTAACTGAAATTAAAAAGTAATTGCATTTCACAAGTTGGAGATGACCTTATTTTAACTGTAAAATGTCATGTTTAGAATCCTTAGTAGTTAAGGATGTTTGATACTTGGTTGGAAATCATTATAAACAAAGTTGATCAGCAGAGCCACAGGCGGAGAAATGGATTTTTCTGTGAAGTTCTTTTTATGTCACGTTATTTTGTTACTTTCATATTAGTCCGTTCCATATTAGTCCGTCCTCTAGTGAATTTCTTTATCATAACACTTGTTTGTTGTTAGGCTTGGTTAACTAAGATGGCTGTTCACACACTTCTGTTTGGACTATGTTTTTTCTGGTGGATGATTGAAGTGGCAAGAGCTGGTTCTTTAAATGAATATTTTATGTGATATGTGATAGATGTACTATATCTTTGCTCAGCAAGAGTATAATTAGCAAGGTTTACTTCTAACAGTTAGAGTGCCTTCCAGTCCTATGACCCTGACAAGTCTCCTATAATGTGTTTAAGTGAATTGAATGATATCTGCTTATGGTCTTCTTTATGCAGATAATAATGTGAATTGAAGAGTTTAAAGATTGGTTAATAAAGATTAACGAGTAAAGATGCTTAAAGTGATGTGGTACTTGCTTACGTATCTTTCAAAGTCCATCCATAAGAAATATCCATACCAAACTTGCCTTATTCTGCCAGTTGTGCGGCTGGTATTTTGTTTGTTGCTTTCGATTGGTCCAAATAAGTACTTTTCATTCCCTTATACCGATTTTCTGTAAAGAAGATTCTGTTTAGTTTGATATATTGTTTTTCATATACTATCCAGTTTAAAAAGAATATAAAGCTTATAGTTGGCCAAAGAAAATCATGCTCAAAGAATGGAAGCCAAAGTATTTATGTGTAGAGAGATATGATGTGCAAGAAAGATAATTGTCATTTTTAAATTGTTGGGACAAAGAGAGCTATGAAGTTACCAGATGCTGATCTTGCAGTACATCATTCATAGCTGTCAATGTTTGGATCCAAGTGTCATGTAGTTGTCCAGAAACTTTGAAAGGTACAGGTAAAGGTCACATTTTGGCTAATTAGATTCTTAAGAGGAAGTAAGTGTTAGTTCTCACAAGAAACAAAAAATGGTTTGGGTGACTGCCAATTATAAGTGTAGTTTGCTTTTACTTTAGCAGTAAATGCTAGTGTATTATGTTAGTGAAGGGAGTTGAACTCATAACCTGCTTACGCGTTTTGTTTATTGTAGTTGCATATTTCGATCTTGATTTATGGGATGTCTGTGGTCGGTGTTCTCTATATGTCTATGTTATGTCTAGACATGCATTTATATAGATTTAGCGTTTTCATTACCTTGATTGTATGACTAAGATGTCTAGCTTTAGGGATGACAGGGGTAGGGATGGTTATTCTCCAGAGCGATCAAGATCTTATTCTAGGTCTGTTTCTCCCGGTGGTGGGAAGGAAGACAAGAGGTCCCCTCGTGCCTCCCCCGGGGGTAGGAAGGATGACAGGAGGTCCTCTCGTGCCTCTCTGGATGTTGGGAAGGATGACAGGTCCCCTCGTGCCTCTCCCGGTGTTGGGAAGGATGACAGGAGGTCCCCTCGCGCCTCTCCAGGTGTTGGGAAGGATGACAGGAGGTCCTCTCGTGCCTCTCTGGATGGTGGGAAGGATGACAGGAGGTCCTCTCGTGCCTCTCCGGGTGGTGGGAAGGACGACAGGAGGTCCCCTCGTGCCAGGGAGAATGGTCGAAGTCCAAATGTTAAGAAAGATCAATCACCTACCAGATCTGAGAGCCCTAGGGACAGAGATCGCAGTCCTTCAAGGTCTCGTTCGCGGTCATACAGGTATGAAGTTTCTGACCTTTTTAATGGTATTGTGTTATCGTTTCAAATATATTTTAATTCAAGTATGATCCCTAATGTGCCTTCCTGTTAAGGACTTCGAAGCAGTTTGGAGTATAATTGGGAATTGTGTATCAGTAGTCTGGATTTTGCTTTTTTATAGTTAGATTAGTCTATAAAGAGATTTGTATGTCTTCATTTGATTTCAAAGGCATTTTAACTTTAGTCCCATGAACATTTCAGTGGTGGCCGTAGGCCTGACTGGTTTAGTTGAGTTTCAAAAACTAAAAACTGGTGTTGTTATTTTTTCCAAGGCTGAATACTCTGTTCTAATTGTTTGCTAATTTCTAGTATTAGTTTATTGCTAAATATCGGCTTCTGTCAGTCTTGTTGTAAATTATCCGTCCCATTAGTATATTTTCTATACAAGTGACTTTATAGTGAAGCTGATGGTTGAAGTCCTATTATTGTATTGAGCACAATCTGCACGCCATATCTCTGTACATTGAAAGGGATTTGCGTTTTCAACTCAGTATTGAATTGAAATCAGATAGTCAGTGGTTGATTATTTCTTTATCTTTATGCAGTCCACGCTGATTTTCCACCAAGCATGGGAAGTACTGGTGATACTGGAGATAAACTTGGACGGTTTGAAAGACACCCATGCTTCTATTATGTTTATTTTAGCCTGTTGAAAACAATTCCAATGGATAATAGTTTTTGACTTGGTGCTGCCATTTTAGTAGATACTGGCTTAAGGCCGTTTTGTCTGTATTCCGAGTACTGGTTTTTTCTAAATTAAGTTGAAACTTGTTTTTTTAGCTATGATTTTGAAGAGTATGGATGATTAGCGAGGGTTGACGAATTTACTGTTGGTCTATCTTGTGGTGCCATGCCGAGTATTCCATCATTATCTTTTGCAGTATCCTTAAAACCTAAAAAATGTTCAAAAGGGCCGTTTAAATTACTTTATTTCTTTAACGACTTTTTTAATCAACTTAATAGCACTATCTTTTAATTCTATAATGTGGTGGTGTCTTTGGAATGTTTCTTTTTATGATCAATTCATCCATCTTAAGTTGTTTGAAAATACGTCGTGCCTTAGTGACATTTGTGTATGCTAGTCGCATTATATGAAGCATAATGCTTGGTGGGAGAAATCTGAAAGAGTTGGCTGAGGATATTTGTGCTGCTCTTCATGAGAAATTTGGTGGATTTTTTGAATTTTTATTTATATAAAATGATAGAAGAGTGCTTATAATTAATATATTTTTAATTTTGAAAGTCTAAGCCTTTTAAAATCCATTAAATCCCTTCTCAAATACAACTTTTTAGTTCTTCAAGTTAGGAGAATTTTTTTTCCAAAACTCTTTCCACCTAAATCATTCAATTTTTTTCACTTAATCATTCATTTTTTTCAAAAGTCCCCTCCTCTCTAAACGTCCCAAACAAAGTCTTAAAGTCTGGTCATTGAGTTCTTTTGGCAAGTCTATGGAGGGAGATAATTGGAATTTAGGTAACAGAGGCCGTTTGCATCACCTACAAATACTCACTCTTATATGTTGTTATGTCAAAGGACGATTCTCTAAAATTAACTCTTTAGAAGATTTTTGAGGAGGTATAGCTTGAGGGGAACCATATTTCTTTAGTCGAGTGTCATCGATAAATGATAGTTACAAGAAGACACTCATATATAAATATAAATATAACATGCAATATTAGGAGAGACACAAAGTACATTGCATTATAAGAGGGGCAAGGCTCTGCCCCACACTCAATAGATATGATATAATATTTTATTTTAAAAAATATTTTAGTTAAAATTTGTAATGATTATTTTGTTTTAATTTATGTTATACGATTTTTAGTTCAAGTTTAATGTTTACTAAACATTTTCAATTGAATGTGTCATGTATGTGGTGTGTGTTTAAGGGTGCTTTTGGGAGTATTTTAGAAGGATCCACCCGAAGTTATGTTGGGTTAGCGACATTAGTTGTTCATTAAATTGATCCATTTATATCACCTCATATCAGAAACATCCTTTCGAACACACCATATAGAAGTTTATGCATTATACTTTTTTTCAACTGTATTCATTTTTTACATCATTTAAATTATCAAAATCATTCATCAATTGTTTCTTCCGTGCAATATTTTAAAAGCTAGACCGGATGTCAAATTGGAAAGACTTTCAATTTAAAATTTATTTGATTCAATAGATTAAATCTACGATTAAACCGTTTATTAAATAAATTAATAATAAAATTAAATTTTATGGATAAGTCACATTATTTTATATGTTTTCATAAATTTTTAAAATAAATATTTTAAAAATTCATTACAAATTTAATTTTATGAGATCAATAAACATAATTACACAATATAATGGTACGTTTAAAAAAATAAAATTATAACGTAGTCTTAAAAGTTAGAAATTTGTGTTGCTTTCTTGTGAAAGGAAAATGTTTTATTTATTGATGCTAGGATAATAATAATTTTCAATTTTCTTATATAAAAAAAGCTAAAATTAGTCAATGACAAATATTTGTTTGAATCAGACGACGGTTTTACAAAATTGGCTCCAGTTCTTCGGTTTGAATGATTTCGAACGGTTCAATAGTTTTTTTTTTGTTTTACTCCAGTTTTGACCCACCTGTAGTTTTATAAGACTGACCGGATCAGAGTCACTTCCGATTCCCGATCTAGTTGAACCAGACAATTCAGTTCGATTTTTAAAACATTATTTCAGTGGACATGTTCTCCACTCTGCCGATGTTCATGGTAAATGATGTTCTGCTTTTAAGTAAATATGTACAAAATACATCTTAGTTTCAAGCCGTACAATATAGATAATTCGACCATCTAGATTATTTGGAGAGTGACTTCGCAAAAGAAAAAGGTTTATGAAAAACCATATATTGTCAACTTAACTAAAACCCTCTCATAATCATTTGTTATGAGATGATCCATTTCAGAAAAACTCATCCATTTTATTTACGGTACTTGGATGCCAATTAACATATGAATCAAAGCATTGTAAATAACTCACATTTTTCCATTAGTTTCATAGAGCCACATGTAATTATCTTTATGGAAAGTTACCTCTTCAATAAAAGTCCAATTGTCATCACTCTTTCCAATTAAAGTTGAAATTGTGCGAAGTTCAAAGATACCATCATTCTTAATGTCTATAATTTTTTCAATGCGTTAGTGCATAAAAATTGTCATTTTTTCAATATAGTTTATTTTTGGTAAAGATGGAGAAGGCGATGGTTTGCTAATGTGTGCATCTCGCTAGCATATTTTTTGGATTGTGATGAAAATTGTGAAAATGAAGTATCCATATGAAGAGAGTCGACATGTGTTGGATTTGAGTTTCCTTTTTATGTGGAGAAAAACTCAAATATGAATAGCTCATTTGTATCACTTATTTAAGTGGAGAGGATCAATTTAGGATTGAGAGAGAGAGAGAGAGAGAGAGAGAGAGAGAGAGAGAGAGAGAGAGAGAGAGAGAGAGAGAGAGAGAGAGAGAGAGAGAGAGAAAATTAAGATTCAAAAGAGATAAAAGAAGAGAGAAATCTATTATCTTTTTTCTGCAACTAGTCTCACTAAATCGACGATCCCATATTTGTTAATCGTCGGATCAAACTCAAATTTAGTGGACAGGTTCGCAACACCCGTATCTAACTTTTGAGCGTTAAAATTTTTAAAATAAGGTCTGAGCTGAGAGATAACTGGTTCGTACTGAAGCTCCAGATTTGGATAAATTTTCAGTTTTTTTATTCTTATTTGTATCCTCATTTGATTATAGTAGAGCTATTTCTTTGGTGTGGATGATTCGTGATTTTTACTCTCATATTGAGGGGTTTTCCACGTTAAAATATCAATGTTCTTTTGTGCTTTTATTTCTTCGATTTTCTTCCATATATTTATTGTTGATCCTAATAGGTTCTTACAAGTTTGAAGAATTTAATATCTGATGCGTATTGATATGTTATCGTGTGTTAATTTCCCATTAGAGTGGTTATCAGAGCTATTGGTTAAGGGTTATTTTACTTGTTTGAATAATGGAGTCAAATACAAATATGAAGATGATATTGTTGAATGATTCTAATTACCATTTAGGAAAGGGCAAGATAAAAGATTTACTATTTATGAAGAAATTGCATTTATCAGTTTTTAGTCCTGCAAAGCCAGATTCTGTATCTGATGAAGAATGAGAGTTTGAACATCAACATGTATGTGGTTTTATATGACATTATATAGAATATAATGTTTATAATCCTATTGCTAATGAGACACATGCAAAAACTTTGTGGGAGAAGATATAGTCCTTGTATGCCTCTAAATCAGGGAATAATAAACTATTCTTGTTGAATAGCTTCAAAAATTTGAAGTATAAGGAGAGGACTTCTATTTCAGATCACTTGAGTGAATTTCAAGAGCTCATTGATCAGATGTTAGGAATGAGTATCAAATTTGAATATGAACTTTTGAGACTATTTCTATTGCTATCTTTACTAGATTCTTGGGAGAGTTTCAGGTTTCTATATCAAGTTCTGCCCCTAGATGTGTTGTTTCTTTGGAAACGGCTAATGGTGGTATTTTTAATGAGGAGACGAGAAGGAATGAAATGGGTTCTTAATCTCAATTTGAGGTACTTGCCACTGAAAATAGGGGGAGAACTCATAAAAAGGAACCAAAGGGTGGTAGAAAATAACAAAAGCAAGAGCAAGCCACGATACAAGAATCTAGAGTGTCATTATTGTCACAAAACATGACATATAAAAAGTATTGTTATCAATGAAAAAAGGATAACAAAAGCAAGACATGTGATTCTAAACAAAAAGATCATGAATATCACGATGATGACCGTGTTACTACTGCTACTAGTGATGATTTTGTTATTCTCCGTGATCATGAGTCTGTTAATATTGTATTAGACGAGAGCATATGGATAGTTGACAGTGATGCTACATTGCATGTTACACCAATAAAGAATTTATTCACATCTTATACTTCTGGATACTTTGGAGTTTTGAAGATAGGTAATGATGGTGTATCTAAGATAATTGGTGTGGGTGATGTTTGCTTGCAAACAACATGGGAATGCGATTTTTTCTTAGGGTGTTAAATATGCTATAAATGTTTGTTTTAATTTGATCTCGATGCATATGCTTGATGATTGTGGTTATTAGGGGTGTTCGCGGTGCGGTTTGGGCGGTTTTGAAGCAAAAAATCACCCGAACCGCAAGAGAAAAAATCATGCGGTTCGGTTTGGTTCGGTTGGCTTTTAAAAATAAATCCGAACCAAACCAAACCAAACTAATGCGGTTTGGATTGGTTCGGTTTTTTACAAAAAAATTTATTAAGTCATACATACAAATATAGAGGAAAATATAATTTTGTGTTTAATTGTTCATACATTATCATAAAAAATTTATAATTGTCAAAATAAGTTTATAATTTGATATATAAAATTGTGTATTATAATTTTATCTAAATCTAAAGAATGATATAATCAAGATTGCATTCTTAAATAAATATTATACAAAGAATACAATAAAATATATTTTGTGAAAATAGTATTTATAAAT